CTAAATGCACTGAGTTGCCACCATGTGATTGGCTGCTTAGAAATTAAGTGTTAACGAGCAATTGGACAGGTGTGCCTAATAAAGTGGCCGATGAGTGTATATTGCTAATCCAATGCACATTCCCTCACAACAGCTGAGTAAATGAACTGGAGATTATCAAAGACTGTACCTCAAAGACTCATTGAAAACCTCTTATGTTTACTGATTTCGTTTACTGACTTGGATAGACAGAGACAAATATTTCCCTTGTGATTATTGGTTGATAACTCTGCTTGATATAAACCAAGTAATTCAACTGAATTCAGTTTATTTGTATCTTTCTAAAATATGACATCATCCACACTCCGCTTTGTTTCAAAAATATATAAATATAAAAAATATAACCGTGGATGTCTGGGGGACAGTGATTCGCCTACATGTTATGAATGCTGGCGTAACATAAATAATACATTATGAACAGTTTAGTTTGTGCCTTCAAGTCGTTGCCCATAGGAAGACGTTACTTGGATATAACCTAACGTAGCATCTCTTCAGAACGGCTCCAAATGACACAAAACTCATATGGGTGAGTAGAACATGATGTAATGACGTAAAATCAAGGGGCTAATGTAACTTTACTGAAGTTTGAAGGTGCCTCACCTCTCCAAAACAGAGGTTAACAGAGGTTACAGGTCTCACAAAGTTAGGGAAAGAATTAAAAAGTAAAAAATATAGGTTATTGATGATTTTTGATAATTTCATGAACTGCTGTGTAAAGCAAGCTAACAAGAAGCCAATGGTGACTAAATGGTAACCCCTGTTGACATATCCTGAGCTGTTTCTTATAAAGTTAAAACTTTAATTCACCAAGAGTTTAAACGATAATAAAACATTTATGTTTCTTCATATGCTCATTACATTTGATTGCCAAAATGTAACCAAAGATTCCTTCTTAAATGAGCCCCCCTCATGTCTCCTGGCTACTACTCTAGCTACACTACTGTAAGAATTCCCTTAGGAACAATCACAGAAGCTTAAGATTAGATTAATTATAATGTCATTGATTTCTCATTAAAAATATTTTAATATTATGTTATTTTACTAAATAATGTCATATTTAGCTCCTGGATTTGCATTATGAATTGGTTTGATAATATTCAAATTGCTCTAAAATAGTCAAAAGCTAATTTGACCTCATTCTACCCCTGTAGATAAAATTTGGCCTCAAACATAAAATTCATGCCAAACTGTAATATCAGTGCGTCTTTTTATTGTTATGGTTTTGAACCAATGTCGTTTTGTCAGTGTGTTCAAAATGACAGTAAAGTTTGTCTCTGTCATGATTTGTCAGGAATCTAGCCCAAGGATGCAGAACTCCACAGACACGGAGGCAGGATCAAAGTTCAAAGTTTATTGTTTGGCTCAGGTCTCCCACCTGGGAGGCAGAGAGCACAGAAAAACAGGTTAACTCTGGTTCAGGTTACAGGCTCAAAACTCACTGGTTCGCTGGTTCAGACAGGTAGAGTTCAGCAGAGTCCCTGCGTCAGAAACGGGCATAGCATGGAGAAGCTATGACCGTACAGGGCACACATGGCTTGGGAATAATGGCTAGGAAACACAAGGCTACGATCCGGCGCAGAGGGAAGCTCTCCCTCAGCTTAAATAGGGAGAGCTTAATCAGCAGAGCTGATGGGGGTCAGGTGTGAGTGCTGAACAGCAGCTCCCAGGGAAGGATCCATATCGCCCTCTGGAGGGCAAACCCCTGGATCCAAACAGAAACAGAAGCCCACAGAATGGGATCCACACCGCCCTCTGGAGGGCAAACCATGGATCCAAACAGAAACAGAAGCCCACAGAATGGGATCCACACCGCCCTCTGGAGGGCAAACCATGGATCCCAACAGTCTAAGTCTAACTGTCTTAATTGTGAGAATAGTAGAATAGTTTTATTGAGTTTCACTTGTTTTATCAAAGTTTTTTAACTGAAAGATGCTTATTTAATATATGTTTTTATAATAAATTATTATATTTTGAATGGAAAAAAGGCAGGGGTGGCACCATAAAGTGTTGCAGAAGTGGCAATACCACTGTGGTTGGTCTCATACTGAACAATGATCAGACTTTTTAGAGAGAAGAGGTTAACTATCTGACATAGTGGTGATGCATAAACAATCTTATCCTGAATTATAGGAGGCCAATAAGGACTGAGCATGCTCCTCTCTGCATAAAGGGAGATGTGATAAATAATAAAGTTCCTGGGCATCGACATATCTGACCTTTCTTGGACCGAGAACTTCTCCCAACCAGTGAAGAAGGCCAAATTGCAATTCTTCGTAAGAAAGTCAAATTTTCAAAAAGAACTAAGCATGTTTCGGGAAGACAATACAGGAGATCTGGTTTATGTTGCTTGAGTCCAGAAAAGGATGCATTGACACAGATCACACCCCACCTGGGGAATGAGTTGTTTGTTCTCCACCACGAAAATGATTCCGGAACATTACATCCTCAACAAGTAGGATTAACAAACGGCTTCTTTCCAAAAACTCAAAAAGCAATGGCCCACCCATAGATTAAAAAACTTTAATTTAATTACCAATATCCATTCATAGGCTGCTTTAGCACAAACTGAACTGTATGTAATACACCATGCTACATCCTCATGTCCATATGTTAATGCTTCTCCTTAAAGATGTTTTTGACATACTTTTCCACCTGATGTGCCTTATAGTTTTTAAGGTGTGCTTTTGATTATTATTTTTTTTTTTTTCTATTGTGAATTCTGAGCCAGATTTCTTAACAAAAATTAAATTTTCAGTCAAATATGACAATAAGAATCATTGATATAAAGAGTAAAAATGTAGAATCCCAGCAGCAATTAGTTTAACATTTAAAAATATTTTTACAGATTTTAATTTTTTTAGCTTACCTTATTTTTTACTTTACTCACGATGAAATGAAAAGATTAACAGACATAAACAAATGTAATTATACACAATCTCCGCACATTTAGGTTTTTTTCAATTCATTAATTGTTTACGTTGAACTGAAAACAGAGTCATTATTATAGTTTCCTTTTCGCATACTAAGGGTTAAAGAAGCACAATGTTTTACAGATTTTTATTCTACAGAAGTAGTTTATCATCAGTTGACTTCACAGAACATTTTCTTACACTCATTTCTTATTCTTTTAAGCCTCATCCCATACATAATGGGATTCAGAAGAGATTGAAGTATCACAAAATACAGAGACAAAACAATCTGCAACCACACTGGTGCATCAACCATATCAAACCTGCTCTGAAGTGTTTCAAATAAACAGCCGAAGGAAAAGTTGAGGAGTGAAGCCAGCTGAGGCATGCAGGTGTTGATGGCTTTCTGTCTCATCCGTTTGGAGCCGTATATAACAACTGTGAGAATTTTAGTGTAAGAATAAAGGATGGGCAGCAGTGGGACCAAGATTGTGAGGACGGAACCGAACAGTCCATAAATGTTGTTTACTATGGGGTCAGAACATGCCAACCTAACCACCAGGTAGTTGCGACAATATGTGCTGTTTAACACATTTCCACACAAAGTTAAATGAACAGTTAATAATAAAGTGATGAAAACTTTCACAAAAGAGTATAACCAGATCAAAAAAATAAAAAACATGACTTTGTAGTGTGACAGTATTACATGATACTGGAGAGGACAACAAATAGCGAGGTATCTGTCATAAGACATGAAAGCTAAATTACAAAACTCTATGTTTACAAATGAGAAGAGGCAGAAGATCTGCAGGAAGCAAAGCGGAGCAGAAACAGTGTGAACATCTGAGAGGATCTGTGCCAGCAGAAAAGGAAACAAGCCTGAGCTTCCATAAACTTCATTTACAAACAGGCTGCAGAGAAACATATACATAGGTTCATGTAAGCTCCTGTTCACAGAGATCACCACAATCATCAAGGTGTTGACAGATAGAATTACAATGTATAATACTGAAGTTAACATGATGTACAAATACCGCAATCTTCCAACATCCATATAAGCTCCAAGAATGAAATAAGTCAGAGGTGAAGAGGTGGAGTTCAGCATGTTTTGTTCAATGAGAAAGCAACAACATCAAGCTCAATTAAAGTTAAAACAGCTAACACCTAGACAATATTATCTAATGGATAAACAGTGTGAAACTCTAATCAACGTTCAACAATACATTATCATCTTGATCTCACCCCAGCATCAGTGGTTATGAATGTCAGCTTATCTTTACTGCGCTGCAGTTCCTTCTGACTTTTGGATGCAGGTCTTTATTCCCTCCCTCACTGAACAAAGTCAATAAATCTCATCACATCATCTAACTGCCGTTTGGTTTGATTGGCTGAACAGGGTAGTCCCTAACCATCCCAATTTATTTTGAAATGAATAAAGAAAACATATAACTGCTGTATGGTTGCTACAATAGGCTTAAAGTGAAGGTAAACTGATCAAAATTCTAAAAGAATCATCTGTACAACATTTAAGTAGGTTTGTTTTAACAGGATGTTTCCATACGTTCATAGCAGGTTAGAGTCCATAGTTTAGCATGTTTCATCAATTGCATGCCATATGTTGGCAGAATAACAATAACATATCCGACGTATCTACTAAATCTACAATTGTGAGTATATTCCGTCTATGACTCTAGCCTACTAGAGCCCCACTACACACATTACACTACCCTTCAAAAACCCATCCATGCCAAATCAGTTAACCGTGCCGAGCTCGGTTCCTTACGACCGTTTACACACCACGCTAGCATGGTTCATAGCCTCCTAGTGACGATCTACGGTACTACTGCTTCTTAACATCCACCTCATTTTGGAAAATTCTCACCTAATTTGAATACCCAAATGGAAAAGCAAATAACTTAGGCCTCTGGAAAGTAAGAGGTGTTAGGACTCCAGTCTGTGTGGTTTGTGTTTTTGTGTGTTTGTCTTCCTTCCTCCACCAGGAGGCGCATGGCTCTGATTCACCTCCTCACACACCTGCGAGGAGTTTCCTCCTTAACGGAGTGCTCTTAAGCTGCTGACTGCCACTACCTCGACGTCAGAGTGTTTGAAAGTTTTGTGTACTCTAGCCAAGCTGAGTTTTGCTGAGTCAAACTGAGTTTTTGTCAACCTGAGTCTTAACTTTGTTATTTTGTCTTTGCCTCTCAGCAGGAAGTCATCCTGCAAACTGGATTTTTCTGACCTTCTCTCCCTGGAAGGATCATCTGAGCTTCAAACTGAGCTGAGGATCCAAACTGGAGGTTTGGATCTACTTCCCTCCAAGAGATCGTTTGAGCTTCACATTGAGCAAGGGATTCATCTCCACAACGACCCGTTCAAGTACAGCAGGAAATCTAAGTGGCAGTCAGTTTCTCCGTTCACCTACAAACAACCGCATTCTGGGTAAACCCTGTCCACCCTCCATCGAAAGAGACAAACACTGGAACACCCCCACACAGACTGGAGTCAAAGAGTCAACCACTTTTCTGGAAACGTGAATCAGCAATCTATCTCTCCTTTTCAAGTTCGAGAATCAAATTTCCCACTGAGCCTGATCTAACTGCAGTGTCTTCCCCTCACCTTTCAGTTCCGGTTGAGCAGTGTTCAGAGCAACACTGGATTCATCACTTTCACCCAAATAAACCTGTTAAACTTTTTCCCTGGTCTCTCTGTATTGGTTTACTGCATTTGGGTCTGATCATAGTTAAAATCATGACAATAGGTCTTTTTTGAATAGCAGTAATAAAGACATGTTTACTTGTTGTGGCTGCTTTGTCATCTTTACATTTTGATATGCTGCTATATCTGTGTTAATTGTGCTTTGGTGCTCGCTGTGTCCATAAAATGAAATTGGTGGTCGATTTGTGGAGAATCTAAGCTTTCCAATGATGTCTAACATGTCTATATTGGTAAACATTTTACTGGTGTAATTTTCATGCATTCTGAGTTATTAGTTGTAAACGCTTAAAAATTACCCGGTGGGTTTTGAGAGAGTTGAGGGAAATAAGCAAGTCAATATGGCGGTGCCAGTAACATTCAGGATGTTTGGTAATAATTGTGATATTTTGTTTTTTGGGGAAGAGTTAGGCAAAGAAGGCAGCCTTTTCGTGAATTTACTTGAGAGTCAGCTTTTGGGAAGTGTATACGACAAATAACAGTCTAATTAGGGCTTAGAGATGCAGGAAAAAATGATAGAGGTTCAGGTTTATCCCACTGCTAAGCAGAAACTGGAAATCGTGTGGCAGTATTTTTATGAATGTCTGAAATTTCCTGAGTATGGAGGCTGACTGTAAGGAGGTGACGCTGTCTGCTCATGTGCTCTTTGTTATCTGAGAACTGTGCCAGAACTGAACCGCACAGAGCCCTACTGATGAACTAGCACCAGTTTAGAGCGGTCCAGTTGGGTCTGGCACGGTCCAGTTCAGTTCTGTGCGGAGTAATAAAAATGTAAATGTCATCATTTTATATGTATTCAATTATAGGCATTTAGCCTGCTAGGAATGTTCAGTTGTTTTTAACTTCAAATGGGGAGAACAAATGGTTCTCCCAGAAAAGGAAAAGTCATGCTTTATCCAGCAGTTTGGTTGCAGGTGACTTATCACCACCCGGAATAAAACTGCACAAAGAAGTGTCAAGCTATATCATGTGTAAACTTCTGACCCCTCCTGATAACTTCTGACCCCTCCTGATTCTTTTTTGAAGTCAGACAATAAAAGCAGAATACAGACATTCAGGGAGTGTCAATCTGTATCTGTTTCCACTCTCCTCCACAGCAGAAAAGTAACTTGTTCTCTTGTTATTACTAGAACAATCAGGGGTTATCATCATTTACCCTATCGCGTGCCATTTACACTAAGCAGTTATCTCGGTTACTGTGCTCAGACCGATCTAGTCACGGTTTTAAAAGGGTAGTGTAAATGGAGCTAAGGTAAACCATAATATATATTCCTGACTGTCAGATTATCGATACAGAGATTCGTTTTTGAGAGATGAGAAAGGGATAAATGGACACTTTAGGTGAGGTCTGGAGTTGTTCTATGGTAAAGTAAAAAAAAACATATTGTCCAAGTATGAATGTTGAGATACAGTGAATGTCTTTTTTGAAAGCATGTGAAACTAAGTAGAGTTGAGTTGATGATTTGGAGTTGGTTCGGTAAATGCAGCCTAGGCGGAAGTTCAACTGAAGAAACTCATTGTTTTTCATACATCCACCTGCAACACAGCCAATCAGCTTTGAACCACACCTCCACGAAAGCCAATCGGCATCCAAAGCTCATCTTAAAAGGCCTCCGATACGCACCTCTCTGCTCACATTATGCAGTCGCATCCGCCGCCTGTGACGGATGCGACTGCATAATGTGACTTCATTCAGATGACACCGTTTCAACCCACCTCCAGCCCCTCCTCCTCCATCTTTGTAGCTAAAGCTTCATCAGAGTGTCATTCCTCCCTGACTCTTACTGCATTCTCTGTCTCATCTGAACCGGTCCTGCAGAAGACCGCCATGTTGAGCCTGGTTCTGCCAGAGGTTTCTTCCCAATGGGGAGTTTATCCTCTCCACTGTCGCTTCATGCTTGCTCATCATGGACAGGTTCTCTCAACATGTGTTAAATTGGACTTCCATCTTCCAGGTCTCTGAGTGAAGCTCAAGGATCAGCTCACGCAGTCCACCTGATCTCTCCACAAAGCTCAGCATACCGTCTCGCTAACCAGCAGTCTATAGACTGACCATCTTCATCTATCTCCACTCCCCCACCACTTTCAGGCCTTCAACAGCTTTAAATAGCTGTAGAAGAAAGCAAAAGAGATGGCATACTACTATCCCATTTCCTTGCATGGTTTGGTGGGCAAACAGGTAAGCCAAGCGTCTCACAATATAAGGGGTACACATACCCCTCAGTAACTCAGTTTAAAAAACAGCTTACTGGGATTCACATGGTCAAAAACCTTTAGAAGCTCTGTGTTCTATACTTTTACAGTGTAATAGCCAAAGGAGTATGGTAGTGCCTATCAGGTTTGACTGATGTTTTCTACTTAAACCATCCAATCTTTTCTGTTATTTTTGTAAAATTCAGATTAACAATAAAGACTTTGTTTTACCTAATAACCTGTTTGACCCTAAAAACAAAGATAGTGTTTTTGTATATATAAAGTAGTTTGATGGAAGTTTTCTTTTGATCCACCCAATCTGCTTGTCTTTTTTGGCAAGCCAAAAGATGATTAACTTTTGAATGTCATCACCCTTTTAAACATCAAACTCTCTAAACAGTCGTTTTGGTGCTACTTTAAAACTTTGAAAGTGTTTGTAGGAGTAAAGTGTGATGCAAATGCAAATGCAATGGGCGTAGCCTCTTCCTCAGATGTCTCTTCCTGCCGTCAGGTGAATAAGAGCTGGAGTTCTGCTGCTTTGATGCTGTTGTTGTTTTTGCATCAGTGCGTCGAGTTTATCCCTCAGCTCCTATTAATGACTGATTTGATGTTACAGAAATTGTCATAATCTGTAACCTATTTACATTTAAAGCTTCTTTTTCAGGTTGTCACAGCTTTGCATTAATGTTATTTTGCTCTTTGTTTTTTATTCTAAATGTGTTTCCACCTCTGGAGAAATCCTCCATGAATTTGTAAGGAGAGACTCAAAGGGTCTATCTGAGTTTTCTGAAGTTCTTCTGTTGGTTTCCTGACGTGGTTTTGATGGGAAGGAAGAGTCTTTATTTGAAAAAAAACCAAGTGATTTTCCTTTAATTAGTTTTATTATAAGCTAATTAACTTTGTTCAAGGAATATACGAAAATGGGCCTATTCAATCCCTGTAGGTTCTAAAATAGGTTACTATCTGGGTTCCTTGTTTGTTGATGCTAAATGGCTAAATTAAATATTTGTATCATAAATGACTAGGGCTATCTTCCATTTTTGTTGGATGATCGCTGTTTGCCAGGTAATAAATGTTTTTCAGGAATTGCTTGGATTTATTTCAGCTGCAATTTTAGCAGGAAGAAACTATGTCATTTTTCTCTGCAGAGAGAAAAATGACATAGTTTCATAGCAGAGAGAATCTGTATATCTGCAGGCCAACAACCCAACTGGTTTGGACCACTCATGCTGTGTTTCTGAGTCTGCTTCAGCCTTCTGTTGTTCTAATATTTTCAGAATATATTGGACATGAATGAGATCACAAACTCTGTGTTTGTGCTTCAGGGTCTGAACGACTCACTGACGAACCGTCAGATCTACTTTGCCCTCGCCCTGACGTCGTACCTCTTCACCATCTTGGTGAATCTGACCCTCATCCTCATCGTGTGTCTGGATAAAGCCCTGCATCAGCCAATGTATGTCTTTATGTGCAACCTGTGTGTATCTGGGGTATGTGGGGCCTCCAGCTTCTACTTGCAGCTGCTACTCGACCTTCTGGATGATGCTCATATCATCTCATATGCTGGTTGCTTTGTGCAGATGTTTTTTATGTATGCTTACATCTTCTGCCAGTTCACCAGTCTGACCGTCATGGCATACGACCGCTACCTGGCGATCTGCCAGCCGCTGCGTTACTGGGCTCTGATGACTGTCCAGAAGGTGGCTCTGCTGTTGCTGCTTATCTGGTTTCTGTCACTGCTGGAAACAGCTGTTGGCTGCATACTGATTACCAGGCTGCCGCTCTGCAGCCATATCATTGACAGAATCTTCTGTACCAACTGGGAGGTGGTGAAGCTGTCCTGCTCTGACACCACAGCCAATAGCCTCTACGGCATCGTGCTCATGTTCCTGCACTGTCTGCAGATTGTCGTCATCATAGTGTCATATGTCCACCTGATCCGAAGCGCTGCCCGGTCTCAGACAGACCGCAGGAAGTTTGTTCAGACCTGCATGCCTCACCTCGTCTCACTGCTCGTCTTCTCTGCCTCAGTGTTGTTTGACACACTATACTCTCGTTATGGGATCAACTCCATGCCGGCTCTGCAGAACGTGCTGGCTGCAGAGTTCCTCGTTGTACCGCCCATTGTCAACCCCATCATCTACGGCATGAACCTGCAGCAGATCAGGACACGGATCCGCTTCTGGTTCAAATCAGAAAGCCCTCGCAGAGCATTCTTTAAATAAAGTACACAAGAAATTCCAGCCTTAGTTTGACCAAACTTGAAAACCCCACAAGAAAAAAGATCCAACCTGTATCCTGTGGTCATGGTTCTGCAGATTAAAATGCCACAAAGGTGTTTTAATTGGAGTTTTTATGTTTTCTTCTTCTATCAATGCATTATAATTTCGTTGGTTGTTAATTTTTTTCAGAAAATGTCCAGGTCCAGATAAAATTCCTGAACTCCTATATCTGTGATTGTCAAAGAAAAAGAAATATATATCTATATCTATATAGATATATAGATATAGATATATATTCTAATCAGGGTTTACAGACGCATTTCCAAAGATGATTTTGCTTAGCAGTTGATGAACCTCAACTCGTTGTTTCCTGCGTCTGTAAGCCCTGATTAGAATATCATTTGTCGAACCCACTTCCCAAAAGCCGATTCTGTCAAGTAAATTCACCAAAGGCTGTCTTCTTAAAACACACTTTATGTCACAAAAGGTGTTTAACGCAGATATAATGTCAAAAACAAAATATATGTGTTTCCTCATATGCTCATCACATTTGATTACGAAAATTTGACCAGACTTGTTTAAAATGAGAGCCTTGTGTCTGCTAGCTAACAGTTCCATTCTCTCATTTGCCATGACTAGGCAAGGCAGGTTTATTTGTCTAAAACAATTCAATACAAAGACAATTCAAAGTGCTTTTGGTATAGTTCTCCCCTTTCTGATTGGTTTATTTTTCATTTTGTGTTATATTTAAGCAGTCTTAAGTTACTCTCTTTTGCCCCCTTGTTCCTGTCTCCTAGCTCGCTTCTAGTCTCTTCCCTCCACACCTGCTCCATATCAGCTGATTACCCCAGTCTTTGTTCTGTCTTCCATATGTACTCCCCCTGTGCAGTTTTTTAGTGCTAGTTCCTTGTTGTTTTATTGCTCCCATGTGTGTTTTATATGACGTCTCCTGGATTTTTTGTTTTCAGAATTTTGTTTTCGGACTTTGGTTTTTTTGCCTTTGGGTTTTGATTAAACCTACAAGAACTTAACTCTGCCTCCCTCATCTCTGCATTTGGGTCCTCAACCAACCTCCACCCTCACATTTACAGCTTTACATGAACTGAAAAAGAAAATGAAAACATAATAAAAACAAGTAAAGCCTGAACAAGCCAAAAGAGCTCCAGACATTGATTATTTCATTGGGAGCAAGCATCTAATGCCAATAACCAATTACTTAAGGTTAATGATTTCTGTTTCAGCAAATCATTTGTAAGTTCAACCCTCTAACGTTATCCTCTCTCATCGCAGTAGCTTCATTACTGACTTAAAGTTTAGACCTTTTTCTGACTGACAGAAAAAGTCTTAATTAATAACAGAATGTCTTCATGAGAGAAACATTAACACACAGGAACAGTCAAGCCACTAAATCAGACAAAGAAATCTACAGCAGATGTATTTTTAAAAAGCAATTTAAGGAACGTTAGAGTGAGAAACTGGGTTTATATCCCCAAATATAGATTCCTAGTGAAGAGTAGCACGTGCTATGATCAAATCCAAAGATGCTTTAGAAATAAATTTGTTTATTTTCTTAGTGATTTATCTGTTTGTGTTTTGAGTTTTACAGGATAAATATAACATTAAACAAGGACATATAAAAAAATAATGAATGTGAATCTTATCACTCATGATCACTCAGAATGTAATTTCATATACTGCTTAAGATTGTTGTTCACTGGGTTCTGCCATTCAAAATTAAATGGCAGGGAAAAGTGCTGTAGGATATTGCACCAGCAACAGGGAGAAGCAGTGGACTGAGGCTGGAGGCAGAGCCTCAACAAGCATTATGTGGAGAAAGTCCCTTCACATGAGCTACAGAACTTTCACAAGGGCTGAGCAGAAACAGAACTAGATTGCTCAGTGGATCAAAAGCTTAAGCTTAAGTTTGGTTTGATTGATGAGCATCTGCGACCTCTTTCATCATTCTATCATTCTCCCATTCTGTATAACGTGTTAGGTCAGTCATGACATCATAACATTATGCTCTCTCTTCTTTTTCTCAACTTCATGTGCTGCTATTTGGCTCCATGTTGGAGAGAAATATCAGCTGTGCTGCTGCCATTACCACCTCTGTTTATAGATGCTGGAGCTTTGCCTGTTTTACAGTGTAGTCCTGTTTCTCTGACTGTGACTAACTGTATGTACTCTCTTTCATCCTCTGACATGGGAGCTGGCTCGGAGCTCACCTGCCTAGCTGTGTGTTTCCTGGAAGGGGCTGCCTGTGGAGCTGGTTGATAGTTGCCTTTTTTATCTTTGCTTCTTTCTGTATCTCTGCTTCTGTCTCCTTAAATCCTCAGCAGATGGCCGCTCACACTGAGTCTGGTTCTGCTGGAGGTTTCTTCCTATTAAAAGGGAGTTTCCCCTTTACTGTCGCTACATTCAATTCAATTTTCAATTCAGTTTATTTATATAGCGCCAAATTCACAACTCATCTCAAGGCACTTTACAGTTCAACCAGATCATACAGTCAAATTGATACAAAGTTTTCTGTCTAAGGAAACATACATGCTTAGTGTGAGGGATTGCCTTCAAGTCAATAAGTCAATGCAATCAACTGGTTTTCCTTGGTTTTCCAATCTGATTCAATCAGTTTTACTGTATGATCTGGTTGAATTAAGTGCCTTGAGATGACATGTGTTGTAAATTGGTGCTAGATAAATAAGCTGAATTGAATTTAATCTGTTCTGTTCCTGTTTGGCTGTGACACCATCCTATAAAGAAATATCAGCTGGGCTGCTGCCATCAACACCTGTGTTTATAGGTGTTGGAGATCAGCTTGTTTATATGTCTCGGACATTGACTAACTGTATGTGCTCTCTTTTATCCTCTGAGACGGGAGCTGGCTCAAAGCTCTTCTGCCTGGCTGTGTTTTTCGGAATTGGGCCACCTGTGGAGCTGGTTAACAGTTACCTTTTGTATCTCTACTTCTTTCTTTCTCATTGAATCCCATTAAGCTTCAGCATAAGGCCGCTCACACAGAGCCTGGTTCTGCTGGAGGTTTCCTCCTGCTGAAAAGGAGATTATCCTCTCCACTTTTGCTGCATTCATCCTTGGTGTGAGGGATTGCTGAAGAGTCAATGACAAAAATACTAGCTAATATCGTCATCACATGCTCATGCAGGAGGAGCGTGTTTTTCAAGTCAATGACTCAAAGCAATCAGCTGGTTTTCCATGATAGAACATTTTAAGCAATCTGACTGCTTGACAGTTCTTTCCTTCTTTACAGACAGTAAAGTGCCTTGGGATGACATATTTGTAATGTTGCACTTTAAACAGGAAATACACCAAACTTAATTTAATTTAATACACTTGCCTTTCCATGGCTTCCGTAACTCTCGTGCTTTCACTAGGTCTCCTCAATCGGTCTCACTACTTTGCTTTTAACGGTCTCACTTCTATTTACTCTAAGTTTGATGAAAAGTCATACACTGAGGCTGAATCTTCAATAATGCTTCAATGCCCTCCTTCAGTTCCGTAATGTTTTGGTGCATTGTATTTTACCAATTTTAAATTACCATGTCAAAATGTAAACCTTTTACTGAGAAAACTCCCTTTGAAGATTGCATCAGCATTGGCAGGTTACTATGTTTTAGAGAAAAACCATCCATTCTGAACCGATTCAGGCAGACCTGAAACTAACTAAAGTGCAGAAAAGAGTACTAGATGCAACCTGGGAAATCAACTTGCTCTCCTATTCTTTCTCATTCACTTTTTACAAACAGATTATGTTCTGATTTCTTATATAGACTTATGTAGACTGTTTCTAATTTTCTTATCAGAAATAATAATATTTGTTCTGCTAGCTAAAACTAAGTCTAAAATGTTTCTGTTTTTTATTTTCCATTACTGTCAGACTCTGGAAGAACCACAGTGCTGGTATTATTAGACCTCAGTTCAGCGTTTGATACTGTTTATCATTTGATTTTATTAGAGCATCTGGAAACCTGTGTTGCCCTTTCTGGTACTGCACTGGAATGTTTTAAATCCTACCTGGAGGATAGAGATTTTCATGTGTCAGTAGGGAACTTTAAATCAGAGACCAGAAAAATCACATGTGGGGTTCCTCAAGGTTCGATTCTGGGGCTCCTCCTATTCAACATCTACATACGCCCCCTTAGCTCGGATTATAGCAGCCAACAGGATCAGTTATCATAACTATGCAGACGTCACATAGCTTTACATAATGTCACCAGGTGACTATGAACCCATCAGAGAGTTGGCTAGATGCTTAGAACAGATTATTATGTGGATGCACCATAATTGTTTTTTAAATGAATAAAACCAAACTGAGGTAATAATCTTCAGACCAAAGGAAGAGAGATCCAGAGTTAGTTCACAGTTTGAACCACTTATAGCTGAAATCTTGATGTCATGATGGACTCAGACCTCAACCTTCAGAGGCTCATAAAGGCAGATACTTAGTCACCCTTTTATCACCTGAAAAAACATTTCCAGTATTTAAAGACTAATGTCCAAGCATGATCTAGAAAATCACATTCATGCATTTATCTTTAGTAGATTTGGATACTACAACAGTGTCTTCACAGGTTTGCAGCTGATCCAAAACACTGCTGCCTGTGTTCTACCTTGAACTTAGAAAGTAGAGCATATCATCCCAGTTCTGAAGTCCTTACACTGGCTCCCTGTAGCTCAGACATTAAAAGCCTTCTGTTAATCTATAAATCACTGAATAGGTCAGCACATCAAAACATAACAGATTTGTTGTCAGTGTTTCAACCTCCAAAACGACTCAGGCCTTGTAGTTCCAGCCTACTCTGTACAGCCAGAATTAGAACCAACCACGGAGAAGCACCATTTAGATCCTATGCTCATCTGATCTGGAATAAAATCTCAGAAGACTGGAAAAGTGCTGAAATCTTGGGCTCTTTTAAAACAAAGTTAGAAACCCATTGGTTTAGAGCTGTCTTTGACTGTTGAAGTTAAACTGCTAACTGGGTTATTACGTAGTTCAAGGTTGTCATCCAACTGCTCTAATTTCTTTATCATGTTTTTTTTACTTTCCTTTGTTCTCCTTTTTTGTGGTCCAATTGATTTATTTGTTTTACAAATGTTTATGATTTTATTCTGCTTTTATTTTTCTTCTATTTTATCATCTAATTCAAGTACGGCACTTTGATTTGTGTATGTACTGATTTGTGCTATACAAATAAAATTGCCTTGCTTTGTTGTGGAACTCATTATAGAAGGTTAAAGTCAACAAACACGCACTGAGTTTTCTATGATATGTTCTGGGATCAGAAAGACCACAGATGACCCCAGCTGAGTGGTCCCTTAGGGTAATAGCTCTGGGTCTAATACGCTGTAAAGGGAATTAGTGGAAACTGTGGCTAACACAACGCCACTTTAGGAAAAACATGTTTACATGACATCAGATATCTGGGACCTCAAACATGATCCAACTTTACTCTCAAAACTAAACCCTGAAACATGAGATCAAAGTTTTTCTTACTGCAGAATGTCAGCAGTAGATTTTCATTGTGACTAATTTATGACAACTAAATTAGTTAATTAATTAAATTAAACTTTAACACTTATGCACCGTCTCATTTTGTAAGTTGGAATTACTAGTCATTTATAACCATAAATTTACATTTTAAGTTTAGTCCTGTAAGAGGATGTCAGTATAGAGAGGCCTAAACTGGGGTGCCAAAACAAAGAACAGAAAATATCTAAATTCCAATCATTAAACAAAAAATGCATAGATAATGGCTTGAGGGTACAAATCTCCAGGATTTGAAAATGTTCTGCTGCTCTAAAAATCGGCACATTTCTGCAAATTGGCCTAATGATGCATGGATTTGCTGTGAATGTGCACACCTGCACACACCTTCAGTCCAGCAGGTGTTGCAAACAGGAAAACAAGCTCTGAAGAATTAGAGCCCAGCCAAGAGGTGCATGTTGCTTTAAAACTAAAAGATTATTCAGAGTAACACACTTTTTCTCCTTTTTTCTTCTCATCAGGTAAAATAATTTATGACATCTTCGACAAAAAAAGAGCTGAAATGTTTGATAATACATCAATTAATGTTTAAAAAAACAGATAATGATGGGAGAACACAATGGTAAAGAAGATCACGTTTTACTATTTCCCTATATCTCAGCACAAAGAATGGAACAAAGCCTCTAAACAATCACCCTATTCAGGAGGAGAAAAACGGCACACTTTAATATTTAACCTTACCAAGGAAAAAACCAAAACTGGTCTCACCTCTTGAGTAGTTATCTGAGCCATGAGAAAGAAGAAATTATTTTAGCGTTCAAAATCCACTAAATTAAGCTTGGATTAAAATAAAACCTATAGGAAATTCTATTCTTTATGTAAAAATAAAAGCAAATGTCCAATGTTTGTTCATTTAGGGTATCCTACACATTTTTTCTCCTGGAAAGACAAGTAAAATAAATCTGTAATTTAACAAAAGCCTGTGGTAGCACAGTTTAAAATATCTAAATTAATCCAAAAAATTTTCAGTAACCAATATATTTCATATTTGTTATTACAGTTGCGCACCAAACATGTTAACCAGATTTCATTTCACTTTTAGTGAAGTAGAACTAACTAACTTTAACAGAGTTGACCGTTAATTAATGACAAATCATGCTGACATCAGGCTGCGGTTCTGTCAGTGTGGAGCTCTGCTGCTCTGAATAGTCCAAAAGAACATTTTGAAGTAGACAAGGTAAAGGAAATTTATACAGTAAAATTCAGTATGAAGACAATTAAAAGTGCTTTATATAAAATAGGTAGATTCTTGATTAAAAACTATATCAGTAAAAGGAAGTTTTAAGGGTCCACTTTCTCATTAAAAATCATTCTAAAACTAAATTTTGTAAGAAATTTAATGTATCAAAGCAACATTTGTTCACTCTTCTTCTGAACTTACTGCCTTCTGGGTACACATAGCATTGCAGGATATTTTGTTGGTAATTTGATGTTCCTGGGTAAATCTGTATTAAAACCAGGGCCACCTTTTAGATGACCTGGGGCCCTTAGGCAAAAGGAACAATTGAGGCCCTACACATGTGGACAAAGCTGAATTTCTCAAAGTTGAAAGTTAAATAAAAAAAAAAAAAAATGAAAGTTGAATTACACCTTCAGAATGTCCCTGAATGGAGTAATCCCAAGGGGTAAATAAAGTTGTCTAGTAGCCTTTTTGTTATTATGAGAAAAAACCCAAACGCACAAAGGTATAACTTAAATCTAACAAATGTAAAAATAAAGAATAATGAAGAAAAATTCAATAAAAATTAACAAATAAAAATCAGACAATACTTTTCAGAGAGAGCCTCTCTTGCTAAAAGGCAAAGCTTCCCTGAGCTAAAAGCCTTAACCCAACACAGCTCCCTGAAAGCCGCACAATTGCAGCCCACTGCCACATCCAGGAGAATGGGTTAAATGCAGAGTTCATTTTGTTGCTCTGTACTTGTGACAGTGTAATGACAATAAACGCTGAAAAAAAGTAATCAGTCCTAAGAAAAAAAAAAAGATAAACACATTATTTTTTTTTTTTTTATTATTGTCCTGGTGGGATATTAGTCCTTTGATCTTGGAGATGTTCTTTGGGTGATAGAAGGCCGACTTTGTAACTCTCTATGTGCCTCTGAATCAAAATCTGAGTTAGGGAGGGCACGTAGATGTTGAATAGGATGGGGTCCTAAGATGGGCTCTTGGGGAATGCCAAATGTGATTTGGGGGATTTTTCATATAAAGTTAGCTACTGACACAAAAAAGTAGATTTAAACCAGTCAAGTGCTGGACCAGAAAGGCTGACCCGGTTTGGGGCCTCATGGTATTTCACATTTTGACTGTAATGACATTAAAAATGTGTGTGAAAAGTAGTTTATGTGCATGTGTTTAAACAACACTGTTCGTATGAGTATTTATTACAAAGGTCCACTTTTGGTAGAACTCTGACTACATAAATTCTGACTTCATAGCAACAGTCTTCATATTGGAGGTAATATTGTTCTAGGCTTTATGACCATTTTACCTCATTTCAAATGTCCCAACATCTAACTTCTTGTTTACTGTTTGATTTTTATTTCAGATTAACAATTTTACCTTAGAACCTATTTGATACTAAAAACAAAGTGTGATTTTAACACACTTTGTTAAAAAACACACTTTGTGTGTTTTTTAACAACTTAAAGGGTTAAAGTACTTTGATGTCTTGATCCATCCAATCTGCTCCTCTTTATCAGCAAGCCAAAAGAACATTAACTTTCACATTTCTT